AACAATTTCACTATACTTAAAGTAAATTTCAAAAAAATAAAAATTAAAAAAAAAACTCGCTCTGAAGAGATATTTTCCCTCCCAGCATTTCCTTTTAACTTATTTGGGCTTTCAGCAGTAGAGTGATCAGGATTTTTCTGCTTCCTTAAAACTATGCAAAAGTTGATGTAGCTCTGTCTCTGTTGTTCTGTCTCTTTCCTTTCCTATTCCTCTTTCTTTCTTTTTTTAAGTAATATTGTTTTTTATTTTTCTCTTTTTCTTTTTTATCTTTACTGTTGAAAGTATTACAGATGTCCCCCTCCCCCCCCACCATTAACCCCTCCCACCCTGCCCTTGTCCCTACCACCACCCCTATCCTGCACCCTCCTCTTTCTCCAGGCCTTCACCACTCTATAATCTGTGTCCTTGGATTATGCATATATGCATATGAAATATCTAGTTAATCTCCCCCACTCCCCCCCCCCACCTTGCCTTCCCTCTGAGAGAGATCTTTAAACAGGTTGTATTGTAATTTTACTTTATATACACTCATGATTGCTAGTATTTATGGGACATTTACTATGTGCAAGATACTGCTATAAAATGTTTTCCATACATTAAATTTATTAAGGCCTCACAACACTAGATATTATTTTTATCCTTATTGTATATGTAATAAAACCAAGACTAATAAAAGTCAATGCAACTAAATGCATCTAAGTAGTGAGAGAGAAAAAAATAGAACTCTGTTTCTCTTTTCCTAAAACAGATACGGGAATTTAGGAGTGGAAAGGTTTTTAAATTAATCTGCCCTGTCATTTTTCAGATGAGATAGCTGATTCATGCAGAAGATAAATGCCTTCACTATTCCTTATATCACCTTTATAATATGCCCCAATTACAATAATGCAAATATTACCCACTGAGTGGTGGATATTATTTCCATAGCTCACAGAGATTCTGTCCCAGGGCAATGCCTCTGACCCCAGCTGCCATGGGCACTGGTCACCAGGTGCCCACATGAGCTCCCCTTCTCAGGAGAAATGCTTGTGGTCAATGGGAGACACCTTGCTCAGGGTCTCGTCATCCCACCACTGCTAATGACTGATGGACTTGTATCTTAGAAAAGGCTGTCTGGCCCTCTACCCCTGTTGATCAGGTAAAGGCTAGACTTTACTTGAGACCACGCTTTTCCTTAGCTCTTTGCCCTTCCCAGGCCCACTCCACTCCCTTCTGAAGGGCACTTCTTCAATGGACCATAAGCAACCTAAATGGTGCCTCTCTATTTTTAAGGAACCTGACCTAAGAGATATATATGTTTATATGTACATATAGATGTAAATTGCTCATACACTGAAGAAAATAACACATAATTTACTATTGTGCTCACATAATTAGGTGTATGAATGATAAGAATGAATTGAGGAAGATGTGGTATATTTGTACAATGAATAGTATTCAGCCATGAGAAAAAAGGACAGCCGGCCATTTGCCACAACACAGATGTTGAGCACATGATGCAAAGTGAGATAAGTCAGACAAACAAGGACAGTATATATGATATCACTTACATGTGGAATCTAAAAGATCCAAATTCTTAAACATGGACAGTAAAATGATTTCCAGGGAATAGGGAAGTGGGACAGGACAGATATTGTTTGAGGGTGTACACATTAATAATGAGTAGTAAATAATAAGCCCTAGCCATCTAATGCTCAGTAGAGTGCTTAGAGACAATATCAAACTTGGTAAGAAACTGTAACTTAGTTATTTCAACCACTAAAAACAAAGGATAATTGTGTAACATGGGCTGTCACTATAATGGCAATCATATTGCAGTATGTAAATGTATCAACTTAATATATTGCATACCTTAAATTTGTCCAGTTATATGTTAAATATAGTTAATTAAAAAAGGAAGTAATTGTGGAATTAATCACAAGGACTGAGGAAACAATACAACGGAGAGAACAATACAAATTGGTACATAAATGATCCTTTCTATGAAAATTAATGTCACTAAATTAAATTAACACATTAAAAAACAATTCAGCAAGACACCTCACTTATAAATAACTTTATTTATGAGGGCATGGTGAAATTAATCTTAATTCTAAAATGAGTCTAGGTCTAGCCTCCTCAATTCTTAGCAAGGATACAGAATACTAGAGTTGATCAATCCTTTTACCAAGGTCACCCTGATTGTCTCTAATAGAACTGGGCCTTGAACACTGACTGCTTAAATTATACTGATTCTTTCCCATGATGTCTAATAACAGAAAAGATCTTATAAAAACGTCTGTTTAGCAACTGTGTCAAACAAAAGGCATTTACGGAAACATTTTAGATGCTCAACAAATACAAGGTTTTGCTGAAAATCACAATAAAAACGTTAGTGCCACTTATTGAGCATAAGATGCTAGGCATTGTTTTAAGAATTTTAAATATAATATGCTTTCAATCATCAAAGCAAACCTATGATATGAAAATCAACATTTTACAGAAGAGAAAACCGGAACTTGGAGATTTCCCAGACCTGACAATTTCCAAAGACTGTGCTCTTAACTAGTAGATAGTTGTTACCTGGGAAGGAAAAGTCATAGAAATCTGGGCCATGGAGGGTCAGCTATAAGGCAGGATGCTATTTACCTTTGCAGTAACTAGTTAGTTTGGGTGGTCAGCACAGAAGTGCCCAAAAGGCAGTAGCCAGCTAGGGAAGGAGAGAACCGGTGTTTTATTTAGCCAATCTGGTCAGAGTGTACTGGTCAAAACCCAAGAATAGAGAATTAATTTTAAGAAGTAAGAAAAACAACATTCCCTAAACCAGCGGTTCTCAACCTGTGGGTCGCGACCCCTTTGGGGGTCGAACGACCCTTTCACAGGGGTCACCTAAGACCATCGGAAAACACATATATAATTACATATTGTTTTTGTGATTAGTCACTATGCTTTAATTATGTTCAATTTGTAACCATGAAAATACATCCTGCATATCAGATATTTACATTAGGATTCATAACAGTAGCAAAATTACGGTTATGAAGTAGCAACGAAAATAATTTTATGGTTGAGGGTCACCACAACATGAGGAACTGTATTAAAGGGTCGCTGCATTAGGAAGGTTGAGAACCACTGTCCTAAACAGAATGCATTGATTACTAGCAATGGTCACTGCGATCAATACTCAATTACGAATTCAGTTAGAACAGTTGGAATTAACTATATACACAGGAGCAAATGATTGGCCCTTTTAACATAAACTCTGGGTATACAAATACAAATAAGCTGGCATATACTCATTGATAAAATTGGGAGGGCTGGGTCATGAAGGACCAACAATGGCCATGCTTGATGTACATACAGAAAAGGACATATTAATCCTGGGAGGTGAAGGAACAAAGGTGTTTTCAAACAATTTTGAAAGCTTAAGGTCAATCTGTCAGTCCAGTATGTGTGTGGCATTTTATAATCCTAAAGGGCCACATTTTTTAATATTTGTTTAACTTAATAATAAGAGCGCTAATATTTGACAAGCAAAATACCTAAATAGCATGGTGAATGTAGTGATCACTTCATCATAACTATGGATATAAAATTAGAGAATATCTAGTAAGTGCTAATAAGATATATATATATATATATATATATATATATATATATATATATCTCATTTTTGTACACTTTTTCATCCACTTTTCTCATAGAACTACTTAGTCATGCATACCATCTCTGTTAACAATATTCCACACTGTTAAGTAGAGAGTAGGATTGGGCTCAGGGTGCTTCTGGATCTGGTCTTGCCCACAGAACACACCCTCCCATAGAAAAATCATTGCGTAGACAGTGACTCCAAGGTGACTTGATTCTAATGGTGATTCAGCTTATTGAGAGCTCCCACATCACATAAAATGGGGTAATATATATTTTAGAGATTCACTGGAGACTTGGCAGCTGAATGGTTGAAGCTTTATTTTTATTTTATGGCAAAATCTATCTGGAGTTCTAAACTCTCTTATAGATAACATTTAGAGCAATATTCAATTATTTAACTTATAATTAGCTATAATTAAATTGTGTGCTATCATATCCAGGCACTTGTCTGTGTTAGTACCTTTTGCCATGTAACTCAATCAAGCTAGTATAAACTTTAAATGAACAGAGATGATTGAATTTCACACCACATTGTGCAAACTGTATGCTAACATGAGCACCCAGTGACATAGCGACAGTGCTATGTATGCACTACCTGTGATTTATTTATACTCCTTCATTTATAAAAAAGCAATATTTAAAATTATTACACTTTAGAGGTAGAGAGAACCTGAAATTATTAGTCCACCCTCTTTCATTTGTGAGATATGGAAACAAACCTGCAATAATTAAAGCCTTTTTATGGATGAACAGAATCAAATGCTGATAACTTACTATGTAATTTAGATCAAGGGTATCTTGGACTCCATATAACCAGAAAAAAAAACAATTTTAATAACAAGAGAATTTAAAACTTAGAAATACCAACAGTGATTGGGTCTTTTGCCATTTGAAAGGCACTGTGATCTTATATAAACATAAAATATTAATTATTCTCCAAAACAGTAAGGTCCAACAGAATACTAATGAATATTTTAGATCATTGTAAGAAAATATTGAATTCTCCATAGTTCATGAAAATGATAAGCTTAGCTTTACTCATACAGAAGTAAACTTGAAAACTTATGTTGTAATGAGAATAATTTAGTTCAGAATTGTCAAAATATTAATTGGCAAAAATGAGGATAAATTATAATAGTATATGAGCTCCAAAGAGTAAGTGTACAATAGTTAAATTTGAAATAGCCATTTACTTAAAAACACCATGAGGAGAATCCCAAAACTTCAGTTAGATAATCAGCAATGAAATTTGAGACTATTGGTATGACAAATCCTGTTTCAGACTTTGTTGGTTTAGATTTACTTGCACAAACAGTGCTTGCCAAAGACAGGAAATAGGTGTAATGCATATATACCCCTCTAGCCTTCTCGCCTCCCACTTTCCTTCTTCCTACAGATAAAGCAGACTCTTTACCTTGCTCTGAGCACCAACCGTAAGTGACAACTGCTCTATTTTGAGGTGAACATTTTATGATGCCAATATGTTTATGCCTTGGCTGTGGTAAATGATAGCTAGTAAATGAATCTATGATTTTCAGAAACTCTATTGATAACTTTTATAGAGAATAATAACCTTAAGTTATTATACTCTTCTTAATAGCTCTAATCTAGCAAAAGCACTTTTATCAAATTTAACATCTGTATGAATTTTTTGCTTTTTATTATAAAATAAGCAATATAACACATTTCCATGTCTATGACTTTTGGAAACAATTATACTAAAACTCCCTTTAATAGAAAAATAAAAAAGTATGGCCATATGTGTATGCATATGTCCATATATTAATAATTTACTAATATTCACATATATGGATCTGTGTTAATACAGACATTATTAAACTAAGAATGGGAAGGTGTTGTTCATAGTTTTAAATCCATCAAAACCAAATTATAGTACTTATTTGAGATAAAAAAATATTCTATTAAAGATTATCAGTATAAGATACAATTTCCCCCATAAAATGCACTCAACTTATACAAAATTTTTTAGGACTTTCTGAAAATTCCCAATCAAAAGTAAATCTACTTAGGCAGCTAATTTGCATAAATAATTAAGTAGAATAACTCTTTTGTATGTTTTATATAAGGAAGCAATTTCCACATAGAACTTTATGTTTCTAATAATAAGTGACTCTGGAGAAACAGAAACTAAAAAACCACACAGCTACCTACGGACAACATGTAAGAAGTTATTTACCTCGGAGAGGAAAGAGTCTACTTTCAAAATATTTTATTAATGCCTTTCTCCTCGGTGGCTGAATGTGAGGCAGGGAGCTTAGGGAGGACTTGTTCTATTGCCAGAGAAGATCTGAAGTCGCCTCTTCCCCTGGATAAAGCCAATACCAATGTCTGCCTGGATGACTAACTCTCTGGAGGAGAATCAAAGGAAATTAAACTGATGACATGTTTTCAGCCCGGAGCTACTCTCTGATGTGTGGGAAGTCAGTTGGGGCCACTGAATTGGGCTCGGGTTTGAGGAAGAAGTAAATTGGGAGGAAGAGCGGCAGAACTCTCAAATAATGTGTAAATCAGATACTGCTCAGAATTAAAGAGATGTTTAGTAAATTCAAGCAAGGGGGGGCGGGGGTGAATCATCCTTGAAAAAAGAAAAAAAAATGTTTTTCAGAACTGTCAAAGCAGTTATTATCATTCAGAAATTTTTACAGATTTCCCTCATGACAAAGTCTAGAATGTTTGCAAACGTTGTATAGTGTCTAAGCGGCTTTCTCTCTTACAGAGAAGTAAGTGGTGAAAGAAAGTGATCAGAATGAAGATCACATATCACATTGAGAGTTTGAAAATGTTGTATCAGATACTTTTCTGTGCTGTGATTAGTATATATGTATGTGTGTGTGTCTATACCTATTTTGCACACATTACACGCATGTGCATTAATGCCTTTAATTGCCTCTTTTATGGTCTGTATTGTTTAAAACATTTCTCTTCCCTCCTTTCAGGGGTGAGGGCTTTGAGGTTAAAGTGTGTGGGTTTATCTCCCAGTTCTGGATGCAAGTTCATGGCATTTCATTATGAAATCTCAGATCCTGGGACTGCTAGCTGTAAACTGGGGCACTGAGTAACACCATCTAATACCTAGGTTCTTAGGAGCTTTAAATGAGCCCAAAAGAGGGGTACAGTGCTTCACACATATACACCAGCACCATATAACAGCATTGTTATGTGAGACTCACCTAGGCTAGGCAAAGGGATAGCCCTGAAAAGTTGCATTAAACTTACTTTTTTTTTTTTTACCTATTTATAAGTTTAATCCCTCTACATTCACCTTTATAGGTGATGCTTAAAAAGGATCTGGTTTTATTTTTCTCCATATAGTCAGCTAATTTTTCTAACACTATATGCTAGGTAACCTACTCTTCCTCCTAAATAGATTTCTATGCTACCTTGTTTGGGTTGTCTCTTCAAATTTCTATTCACCTCTCTAGGTCCATGTGTCTGCTCTGACAACAATATCACATTTTTGTCAACATAAGTTTGAAGTCTATCTTAATAATTAAATATGAAAAGATGCCCATGTTACTTCTTCTTATAAAAGGTTTGCTTCATTATTCATATGCTGATCAGAATTCTTATTGGAATTTTAAAGAACTTATAAAGAACATATTAGTTTAATTCAAATTGCTATCTTTATTATATCAACACATACAAGTTAGAAGCATGGAAAACTTCAATTTATGCAGATATTTTATGTCTTTTACTAGGGTTTTTATTTATTTATGTTATTTCAGATAGGAAGAGAGAGGGAGAAGAGATAGAAACATCAATGATGAGACAGAATCATTGATCGGCTGCTTCCTGCACGCCCGCCACTGGGGATTGAGCCTGCAACCAGGCATGTGCCCTTGACCGGAATCGAACACAGAATCCTTCAGTCTGCAGGCCAATGCTCTATCCACTCAGCCAAACTGGCTAGGGCGTTTACTAGGGTTTTAAAGTTTTCCCCAAAAAGAATTTTTTCTTGGTTATTTTATATATATATATATACTTTATAGTTTTTGTTACAGTTATAGGTAGCATCTTTCTTTAAATTTTATTTTCTAGTTTAATGTTGCTGGTATATGGCAATAGTATTTTTGTAAGTTGATATGGCATCTAGCAAACTTGTTGATTATGGTGTAATTTCTAGATAGGTGACCATATCATTTGAGCATAATAATATTTATCTCTTCCCTTACAAGACTAATGAATATATATATTTTCCTTTTGTTATGATTTTGATCAGAAACTCTCCACTTCAATTTTGAACAATAACAGTGACATAAGTCATTTTTTTTCTTGTTCCCAATGTTAAATGGAATGCTCCTCATTTCTCCCATAACTAGAATATTTGCTGTAGATATCTATAATAATAAAAGCATGATATGGTAATTAGACCTTCCAGATGAAGCCGAGGCTGCGAGGGAAGCCCAGGTCCCGGGTGCCAGAGGGAAGTCAGTACCAGCAGCCGGGGAAGAAAGACCTACTCTTGACGAATTTCGTGTATCGGGCCTCTTGTTTAGTATAATGTCATTATGAATTAATGATCTCCTCTGTCTCTGTTCTTTTTTTTTTTTGCTACATAATTTTTTTAGTCTGTGAATTTTCTAATTTTGGTTTAATTTTTATAAATATATGTTTTTATTAAGTTAATAAACAGTGATATGTCATTTGAGAAAAGGATTTATTTTCAAGTGAGCCTTGGAAACATAGGGGTGGCCCTAACATCAATGTGAGGAAGGAGCAGTATATTACAGTTTAATTGTATCATTTACATTTATGCTTCAGAAAGACACGGCTTGCTGTCTGCAGTCTGTAATTACATAGTAGTAAGCCCTCAACATATGGAACTACATATCTTTGAAATGTCTCAATTTGGCTTTTCTCTAATCACACTTAAGAGAAATTACTAATCTCTTTAAAAAAGGAGAATTACAGACGGCAGAGTGGAGAGAGACTGGGGAACTTACACTTAGCAAAATAACTGTTTTTAGGGAAATGATTTTAAAAGAATTAAAATGTGTGCCCCTCAGTGATTAGCAGAGGAAATGTGCAACTACACACATTTGGAAATTGTCTACATGCAAGTCCACGGCAGGAAGAGGCAGTTATTTACCTTATTCTTTCTAACATTTTTCTGTGGGACTCTCCTCCATGAAAACAAATTACACCACATTCTATCAGCACCAGGGGAAGAGGAAGGGCATGGAGCTAAATGCTTTGGTCTTCCAGCTGATGCTAAATCTTAATCACATTTACCTCATCCTTAATACTTCCTTCCAGAGCCCTGCGTTAGGTTCTCCCCATCCTTTTGCACAAGCATCACAATTTGTCAGGGCCAAAGAAAATAAAACTTTAGCCTCCACTTTTGCACACCTGGGACAGCCCAAGTAGCCCACACTCTGGGTATGTGGATGATGGACTCCCCTAATGGTGAGCTAGGACCCTGAGGGCTGGCAGGAAGCACATTTTGTTCACTTGATCATGGTCAGCAATATCTAGCATGCTACCCTAGACAAAGGGAGTAAAACTTGATGATTGTGTGTTAAAAGAAAGAACAATATCTGATTGTCATTAACTTGTAAAAAAAAAAAAAAGGAGAATCAGTTCCTCTCTGTTGCTCAAATTTTGCAAGAGGTTCACTGGAGGACAGAGCCAGAGGGAGGGGCCTGCCCAAGGACACAGGCCTAAGAGAGAGTCCTCGGGGAGTCGAAAAGCTTCTGCAGCTCCACCCCTGAGTGAGGACAGTTTAGCCACAAGGAATTGAAAATAATGTGATGATTGTATTCTGCCTTTTCCAAACATACAATCTAATTATGGGAAAAAAGGCAAATGTACATGAAGAAATGGAGATAAAGTAGATCATGCACATAATCAGAAAAAAGGGAATATAAGCAAAATTTTACTGATTGAACTTTAAATGCTCCTATTCAGGGGCAAGATCAGTGTTTTTGTTGTTAGCCTGTGAGTTTCTTTGGAAAAAGAGAGACTTTGAAATATTCTCGAAAATGTGGTTAGAATCCAGGTTTGAGGATTAACATGATCAAAGGCATAAAGGGCATAGGATCAAAGGAAGAGGTAATGAAAGTGTAAATAGGGAGACTACACTGACTAATGTAATGGAATAAAGATAATCTAATGAATGATGCCCCAGGTTGGGTTCCTAGGCAATGTGAAGAAAATCTGAGACACAAGTTTATGAAGAGATGTACTTGGGATTAATTCCCCAGGAAGGGAAGGGAAGGGAAGGAAGGAGGATTGGACAAAGGTAAGAAATCAAGCTGGGATGTCTTCTCATTGGAGGATTCAGCCAATCAAGTACTTTGGAGTGGTTCTGAAGCCAGGATCATATTTCAGAGTTGTCACTAGTTGGACTGGGAAGTCAGGCCTCTACACCCCATACCTGATAGACATAGGATGAGGGTACCCTGGGAAGGAAGCATGATCTTGGACCAGGTGGCTCTCTCCAGCAAACGCCATCCCTGAGATTTTTGCTGGCAACACTCCCATGTAAGGGAGCAAGCATCACAAATGATAATACAAGTAGCAATGTTAATGCTAGGACTTGTATGTATATAGTGATTTTTTAATGCTTTCAAATTCTTTAATGTTATTTATAACTTTAAACCTCAGAATATGAGGTGACCCTATGTCACCATGTTTTTATTTGACAAATGAAGATTGTAAATTTCATCTAGTTTAAGAGGAGCCCGGTAAAAGAACGCCAAATGAAAACAATAACAAAAACCCGGGCTTCCTAACCCTCACTTTGCTCTCATTTCTTTATCACAATACAGGTGCCAGAGTTCAGGATTGCTCAATAGGGGACCAGGTATCTCTGAGAAATAAAAATGGCTATTTTTGACATTCAGTTTGTGTGTTTGCTTTCTACAGACATAAGTTCATTTTTCTTTCCAGGTTTTTCTTTTTTTGTCTTCAAATTTTCATTCTGTTCTTCACTCCCTCCTCTGTTCTACCTCAAAACTACAATACAAACAAAATAAACCTTTTCTTATTGTTATGAATAAAATTTTAATTGTATAGAAGAGCTTAAATTGAAAAAGCATTATAGAAACACCTATATAATTTTTATTTGTTACAGAACGCTTACAGGAATATGTTATCAATTTTGTGATTTCCATTTCAACACACACCCCCTTTCCATTCTAGTTATTTAAAGGGCAAAATCACTTTATTAAAATGTCAACAAAGTCCTTCATTAGTTCAACAAAGTAACATAAATAAAAGTTATCATAACGGGTTATGTTTTTAACTTATAATGACATCCTAAGAAAATATTATTTGAGCTCTCAAAGTCTTAGGAGTTTTATTTTATATTTGAACGTCAAGATTGTACTTGTTAATATTGTTAATTTCAAAAAATTTTTTCTCAAACATGTTGAGTAATCAGCATTTATCAGCTGCCAAAAGACTTATAGTAATGCATGACTATTTTTTCCAAGGAAAAATATTTATTTATTTTGAAACCTCAGCCCCCAAAATGTATAGTATAGTTCAGTGGGATATAGATTTTGAGGCTAAAAGAAATCTTGGGTTCTGCCTCAGCGACACATTAGCAATGAGACTGTCAGGAGGTCACTTAATACCTCTATGCCTCTGTACTTCTCTTACTTGGACATCATAATTCCTGACCTATTAGCTACACCAAGTTGCAAAAAAAGTAACCAAGACAGAGACAGAGGAATTTTCCAAGAGGTAATAGTATCTTTGGCACAAAGATGTTTTCTTTTTCTAATTACTATAATTATAGGAATGTAGACTCATTATAGGAAATGAAGAAAAGAATGTCTTATCATGTGAGGATAAACTCATTCTCTTGTATTTCTATTTAATCTGATCTTTTCTTTGCCTGGCTTTATATGTGAGCATGAATTTTTTGGGAGAAGGGGATGAGGTCTGTTGCTGTTACTGTCCTCCAGGAGAGTCATAATGCACTCATTTCCAGATGTCTCTACACACCGAGATCATCAATTGCTCTATGCAATAATTTCTTTTCTGTTACCTTATCTTAAAATTGGCCCCAAATACCTATGTCACAGAGTTTTTTTCATATGCCCATGAGAGGAGCAAAGCTGCCTTGAGATATGGATGCTTGGTGGTGGTTGCAGATACCCTGCTACCTCAGTGCCTTGCTCACACATCTGTAGCTGCAGAAGATTTCAAATTAGTATGTTATGGACCTTGGAACATTCTTGAAAATAAGGTAGTCCTCAAATCCTATATAATAAAAGACTAATATGCAAATTGGCCAAATGGCGAAACGACCAGTTGCTATAACGTGCACTGACCACTGGGGGAAGATGTGCAATGCAGGAGCTGCCCCCTGGTGGTCAGTGAGCTCCCACAGGGGGAATGCTGCTCAGCCAGAAAGCGGGCTCATGGCTAGCGAACAAGGGCAGTGGGCCTAAGCCATCAGTCGGACATCCCCCAAGGGCTCCTGGACTGCAAGAGGGTGCAGGCTGGGCTGAGGGGCCCTCCCCCGCCCCCTCCTTGAGTGCACACATTTCAGGCCTCTAGTATTACTAGTAAATAAGAGAATGTACATGAGTCTGCCTGGGCTGCCGTAACAAATGACCACAGAGTGGGTGACTTAAACATCACAGATATTTATTTTCTCACAGGTCTAGAGGTTAGAATCTGAGACCAAGGTACCAGTATGGTCAATTTCTGGTGATTTTTCTCTTCCTGGCTTGCAGACAGCCCCCTTCTCACTGCATTCTCACATGACCTCTTCTCTGTGTGTGCAGAAAGGAGAGAGAGAGAGAGAGAGAGAGAGAGAGAGAGAGAGAACATGCACAGTGCAAATGTACTCTCTGGTGTCTCCATATATATACACTAATCCTATTGGATCGGGTCCCATCTTTATGTCCTCATTTTTCCTTAACTACTTTTTTAAAGACCCAAACACAAATACAGCCTCACAGAAGGTTAGTGCTTGAACATGTGAATTTTGGGAGGGCACAGACTTTTATCCATTATAGAAGGCTAAGGATAACCCAATGTACCTTGGTGTTATTTTTTAACTTAATTTTGAAGCTTATGCATTTTCCTTGTTATAAAACCCTCATAAACACAATTTTATGTCTCATATTCTCTAATAAAAGTATGTATTCTAATTTATTTAGACATTTTATCTCTCATTGGTGAGCATGTAATTAATTGTTTTACCCTTATGAATATTAATGTGATAAAAATGTACACCTAAAGTTTTTCCAGTATATATTATTTCTTCAGGAAGTTGAATTAGTGAGGCAAAAGGTGTGAACATATGAAGAATATTAATACAGGGTCAATAATCTCTTAAAAGTGATTTTTCTGTTTTTAGTTCCAAAGGAGAGTATTACCTTTTTTTGGAATTTGAGGCATTGTAATAAAAAGAAAGGTTTGAGTGGGAATGGATGACAACACATGGGAAGGACTGAGGAGAGTGGTAGAAAGTATTTTTTTTAAATCACTATTTCTTAGTGGATTTATCTAGGGTTTTACAAATGGCAAGTATATGAATCAGAAGGAAGAAATGGCACAAGCTGAGGGGTAAATTGAAGAGACGTTAATAAGGGTATTTATAAAGATAAGGGGGGGTCAAGGAAACTAGCAAGGACTAGTGCAGTAGTATCCCCATAATAGTAACAGTTGGGAGCTATTATTACTCCTACATGGGCAATGTGAAGCCACTCCTAGACTTTGAAAAGAATTGCTACATAAACAAAACCATGGGACTAGGGTGGAATTGGGTGGTGGAACTTTAATATTTACAGGTGGACTATTTCAGTGAAGTGCATCTCTCTGTTCTTTGTTGTCTCCGTTACAAGCTTGCTTTGGGGGCTGAATCCATTATCATTCTACTGGTTTCCTGTGACAGAACCTCTCGTGTTACACTACTAATGAATTTAGGATAAATTATATCCTTACCTTGTTTCATCACCCCCTCATCCCTCCCCCACCCTCCATCACTGTGTTCCTCAAAAGTTCATGCACTAAAATTCCAACTCAGGTCCTTGTTGCCTTTGTTTTGTTTTACCAGCAATGGCGTTGTTCCCGGCGTTGCTGTTTCTGGCTGCTGTGTTGCTTCCATTCTTTCCTGCAAATGGACAGGTATGGTCGAAGTTGAAAATGTTTTCAGATCAGACAACCCTGAAGGACAGCAAGCGATTAGATTAATTTTCCAAAGTAAAAAGGGGGTGTGTGTCTGCGACATCACAAGGTACAGTAGCCCCTAAACACATGAAGGTATTGAACACGACATATGGGTAGTCAGAATTGAGATCTGCATGAATAGAATGCATAGCAGACTTCAACGACTTAGTTAAAAAAGGGTGGTAAAACATCTCATTAACAATTTTAATATGGATTGCATGACGGAAGCATATATTTTGAATATGTTTCAAAAATATATTATAAATATCGACTTAACCTATTTTTTTCTTTTGTAAAGTAGCCACCAAAAAGTTAAAATGACCTTTGATGCTTTAATTATTTTTCTGTTGACAGAACTGGTCTATGTGTGTTTAAAAGCTAATGAAACTCCTCTAATCTCAAGATCATTTTCTGATTTACTTTTATTTAATCTATTTCAATGTGATCCCCACTGAACATTAACAATATATTTGCATAATCTCAAACTAGCAAAACTTCTTCACATACATCACCACATTTAATTTTCATAGTTACTGTGTGAGAATAAGTATACCTTTTTTTTTAATTTAAGAAAAAGAAAATTTACTGGAAATATTAAGCATTTGGATTTTTTAATAACTTTTACAATTAATTTGTGTAAGATAAGATGCTCTAATTATTTCTAATATGTTGTTTCACTTTAATAATCCCAAGAGAAGTATCAATTACCCTCTTTAATTGGTGTGTCATGCCCATATAAGAAATCTATTTTCTGATCAGAGAACCTCTGAATGTGAGGACCTTTGGTTCTGGCTGGCTGTTCACACACCCTTCTTTAGCACTGGGCATACAAGGTTAGGTAGGACCCCTAATCAACTTTTCAATCTGAAGACAATATATACATTACTCAAGGCTTCATTCAAGTCATTTACTGTCTCTCCAATTTCTTTCCTAGAGATATTATTTTATTTATTTACTTTTTTTATTGCTTAAATTATTACAAAGAGTATTACATATGTCTCCTTTTTTTTCCCCCGCCCTTGACAATCCCCTGGCCTCCCCTACCCCCCAGTGTCTTATGTCCGTTGGTTATGCTTATATGCATGCATACAAGTCCTTCGGTTGATCTCTTACCCCGAGATATTCTTTCATAGCCTTTTCTGATACCCTATTACCTCTCTCATCCATATCCTGGTTTTCATTTATAGAATCGTTAAAAAGGGCACTATCATTAGATCCTTTGCATCACTAAATGTTTGCTGATCTGATGCTCTAAATTCCCTCCACCCAGGGGTTTCTGTGCCTCTCAAAATGCCTAGAAAACATTATTCACCTCTCAAAACCCCAATCCAGGCCATCTTTTGTGAAGCCTTGCCTAACCCCAATCAGGAAAAATTGATCCCGCCTTCCTTCCTCTATATCTAGTCGATCCCGCCTATCATTTTATTTATCATGTGGCATTATAATTATTTATGTCATATTGCCTATTCAATATCAGTTTTTAATGATAGATAGAAACCATATTTATCCATTTTATTTTCAACACTTTCATATTTCTCATCACCTAATAAAACTTTTATTAATATTTGTTAAAAAAGAAACAAAGGTATGCATTTTTTGGTAGAATTGTTATCTAGGAAACAAGATGGGGTAAGAAGTAGGAAATAATTACTTCTTTCTGAGGCACCACATTTTGATATGCTTTGAAATAAAATGATTTTAAATAAGTTTTTGAGGGTTAATAGGATGTATCCAGGGACATTATTTTATGCTTTGATTGGTCTCTGCTAATATTCATGTGCATCCTTTTCAACTTAGGAATCAGTGGCTGGGAATGTGGTGGATCTGTGGGTATGCTGACATTCAGTCTTGGTCCCTGCCCTTAGGAATATACATGCAGGTGGGAGAAATGGATGCATAAGTAGATAGTGGCAACATGAGTATGGTCAGACCTATGCTTACAGTATTTGGAGGACTTTGCAAAAACTCAGTGTTGTGGAAAGAGAGAATAAGTTATTCCAGAGTGTCAGGGAAAATCAATACAGGGTTTTGTCTGTTGAGAATTATACTTCACAATGTTGCACATGCTCGTATAATATCACACTTTTGTGCAAATTTAGGCCATCAAATTGTGTAAACTTTATGGAACAATTACACACTCTACTTGCCTCTATGCTTAGACACCCCCCCCACACACACACAAAGATATACCAAAAATATGAGCATCTGATTAATACCTTAATTATATTTTTGTAACTAAAATGAACAAAACCAGCAATAGCCCATTAATTGCTTGCTCCCTCCAAATTGCCTTGGAGATTTGTTTAATATTAGAAAACTTTTTTTGATTAATTCCATAAGAGCTGCTACATAACAGGTAAATCATAGATTATTGAATGCACTTGGACTAGGGCCAGCGATGGCGAACCTTTTGAGCTCGGCGTGTCAGCATTTTCAAAAACCCTAACTTAACTCTGGTGCCGTGTCACATATAGAAAATTTTTGATATTTGCAACCATAGTAAAACAAAGACTTATATTTTTGATATTTATTTTATATATTTAAATGCCATTTAACAGAAAAATCAACCAAAAAAATGAGTTCGCGTGTCACCTCTGACACGCGTGTCATAGGTTCGCCATCACTGGACTAGGCCTAAACGTTCTTTCTTTGAATACAGGTACCATGTCGGGTCAAAGTTCCCCCTTCAAGTGTAGAGTCACCTGACCCTCCTCTTATCACTCCCTTGCTGCAGCCTGACTGTGAATGAAAATGTCTTAATGGTTCCCATCTTACAACTTTGTCATTATGCTGTCACTCAGATGTCTAGACCAATCATATTGAGACGTCTCTTCATACTCGAAAGTGGTATTTGTGGCCTCAGAGGTGTTTTGAATTGTCATGGCATGAATAACATCCACACTCTCAAAATTTAACACTATTTCTTTTCTATTTAAAAATCATAGCTTGGGTTCAGATTCATTGGCATTGCTTAACAATTAATATCGGCTTGAACTGAATACGTTTGAAATAATCTCTGTGCTCTTGAATTAATTTGCTCATATGCAATTTTTCAAACTTTTAAAAACTCATTCTGATTTGGCTTTCCTTTAGAAGCCAGGTTTTGCTGCGATGGCAACCGGCCGAAGAGAAGTGCAAAAAGAGATTGTAAATAAACACAATGAAGTAAGAAGATCAGTCTCTCCACCGGCCAGAAACATGCTGAAGATGGTAAGAGGTGGCCACATAGGAAAGTGGCTTGAGCCGGTTGTGATCATCACAGTCTCCCCGTAAAAAAAGATCTCGAAGAACTTTGTGACTTAGGGAGTTCTGTCTCTGATAGTTCATGAGAGCTTTGTTATTGACATGGCAGAAATACTTTTCCTCATTCCACATACCATTTTTCTTAAAAATTGTGTATCATCCTATCCTTGTATGTTCAATTCACTAGAATAATGTGATCTGTCAGAATTGATTCACTATCATGTGCATTTCAGAGTTCTCCGTCTTTGTGAGTGAAATGTCTTCCCAGAGAAATTATATATTGTATGCATATATAAATTGCATACAATTTCAGGGGACCCAGGGAACCCCTGAAACCCATTCAGGAACCCTGGCCCTGAGATTAGTGTGTGCCATCTGACCTTGATAAATTAACGTTTAGACACTTTTACTGGGCCTTTTCTGTTTGTTTTGACCCAATAAGTTCTCTGGCTATAGGCAGCTCTTCTGTGCAGCTCCTCTCCCTACAGTCAGACAACCTACAATCATCATCGACATCATCCTTATTATTAATGTCCACTCCACCCAGTAGGTTTCACCTTGAACCCTTGACCTTTCCTCAGAGACATGTTGTTAGACCAGGAAATTCAAGTGTTGCTGACTTGAAGCTTAAAGGAACCCTCTTTCAGGAAAAGAGTACACAACTATCTTAGCACTGAAAAAAAATTTTTTTATGACTATGCATATTCTGAGGTGCCGTAGTACAACCGTGGTAGGGCCTATGCAAGTGAGGGGTCCAAAACTTGACCTTCACTAACTCCATGGTATAAGGCAGAAATTCTTAATTGTACTTTGTAATGGTTTAATAACTTGTTCGTTTTATGGGGCTATTTAAGTTGGCACAAATTATTTTAAAAAATATTTTTTTATTGATTTCAGAGAGGAAGGGAGAGGGAGAGAGAGAGAAACATGAATGATGAGAGAGAATCATTGATTGGCTGCCTCCTGCATGCCACACTGGGGATTAAGCCCGCAACCTGGGCGTGTACCCTGACCAAGAATCGAACCCGTGACATCCTGGGTCATAGCTCGATGCTCAATCACTGAACCACCAGGGCTGGGCAGCACAGATTCTTAATTGTACTTTATAATGGTTAAACAACTTGTCTATTTTACAGGTTTATTTAAGTTATGGAGGCAGAATTAAAACCAAATCTTTGGACATCCACTAAGGGACCATTATGTTTTTCTGATCACTATCCCCTCCCAATCTATAATCAGGAAGACATTTTCCCTTTAGGATCAATGACGTTTAGGGTAAATAACAGACCAGTCTGGGCCTAGTGCCAGAAGCCAAATGTCTCAGAAACATATTAAGTGCTGAAACAAACAAACAAACAAAAGGAACTAGAAATTAAGTATGCCAGCTCAGTATTATAGGAAAAATCATGTTAATACTTGTACATGTTTATCAATATTTAGGATAAGACCACTGCTAAAAGTCTTCAGGTACTCCTGCTGTGCTATCATCCATAGACTTAACTATCTTAGACTTCACAGTTGCTTGGGGTAGCCATACTATCTCTATTTCTTTTGGAGCAGAAAGGGGCACATTAAAAATGGTCTTTGATTATAAGAATCAGAACAGGCATGTACAGAAAAAGTTATAATGAAGTGAATGAAGCTACCAATCTCATTATAAACCTTATGCACCTTTGTGTTTTAAGTCATTAGGTGCCTATCTTCTCTCCCCCTTTGTTTTAGCAATGGGACAGCAAGGCAGCAGCAAACGCCCAACGGTGGGCAAACAAGTGTGTTCTCAAGCACAGTTCCTCACAGGATCGAAAAGTTGGTATGTAAATCAAATATTTGTTGAGTAGATGAACAAGTAAGATAATAAGGGGCCGTTTTTGGATGTTGCATTAAGAAACCTTGTGGATAAATGTTGCTTCTAATGCTGTCTTTTTCAAGTTCAAGTCTCCCTGTGTGAGAGAAAGTTTGTGGAAGCACCACCTTGTGCTTACTGTTCTGTCTTTTATAAAAGCTGTCTCACACAATGTCATATTGGTGCCTCTTGACCATCTCATGAGTAAAGCAGGTCATATGTCATTTCTTTCTCTGTTTTAAAGAGTAAGGGACTCACTCTCAGCAGGAAAATAATTGCTAACAAGTGTTACATATGGGAAATTCAAAATTAGAATTTCGGACTTCTAACCCATTGCCCTTTTCATAGTATGGAGCCTGTTTGTGTTTTGAAAACTATTTATTTTTGAATTTATAAAATACTTTGAATTTTGTCAAACCGTTCTGAATTTTACTCAAAAAATATTTAGCATTAGCATCTTTTTAACTTTTGATGACAGTAAGTCAAATCTTTTGTGTGTTCTGGATGCTCTTACAAAGCATGCAATACTATATTAGACTCGAAAATAGCCTCAAAGACATGACCTCTACATTGAGGAACCTAAAAACAATTAGATGTCATATGTATCAACAATTAAACAAAATATTTACTTGAAGTAGCAAGTGACAGATATAGGCAAGCCCAATTTGAAAATAGTAATTCACCTGTTTTGAAAGTAGGACTGTCACTGTTATTTTTGATTCTATAATTTAATGAAATTATTGAGAGGGATGACTTATATTCAGAAAAAATTGGAATAACTGGTTTTGAAGATCCCAATCTACTGTTAAAATTTCAGCATTTTTCTTCTCTTCATAAGGAGCTATGCAAGAGTAGTTTACACAGCCTTTGAGTAGCATGTAGACATTACTTTCAAGCCTTCCAAATGTCAATCTTAATTTCAAGGTTTGAAAAGTACATTGAAATGTTTGAGGGCTGCAAAGCACTTTTGTCCTGATTCTTTGAGGAGAAGTTGGCCTGTGACATTATGATTTGCTGATGAAAGGGAGACCCATAAACTTTGAAAACAGTGTCCCTCCTAATGTCATCTGCTTCATGCTTGGAACCCTTAAAGACTGAAAGTAAAATTGTTTTCAAAGTTTACACAAAATAAGTACCCTAAACATTTATTAAAGTTGCTATATATGAAAAATTTCTGGTAAGTGTGGGTGAGAATAAGAGAAATACCATGAGTTGTTTTCTGCTTTCAGAAAGCTAACAGTACACAGTTGAGAGCACATGAGGCATACACTCATGAAGAATTTAATATGTAAATGAATGGCTTTAGTGGGAGTAGATATGAAAGAAAGAGGACTTCATCTACTCAAAATTTTGCATGTTGAACCAGCCTCAATGTGTTTGGCATATTTGGTTTCAATTCGGCTTACAGCTGATAAGGAACTTTCTATTTATTAATGAACAGTTAGCAACTATGGGCACTTGTTTGAAGATCAGGTACTCCATTGATAGATACAGATGATAGATAGATAGATAGATAGATAGATAGATAGATAGATAGATAGATAATCTCTCTTTCTTTCTCTCTCTCTCTCTCTCTCTCTCTCTCTCTCTCTCTCTTTCAATATCAACCATTGCATGCTTTCCCCATGAATGGTCTGTGTTTTTTTCCTTAGGTAAAAGAAGCTGTGGTGAGAATCTCTTTATGTCAAGTCAGCCTAATTCATGGTCATATGCAATCCAAAAGTGGTTCGATGAGGGAAATGATTTTATCTATGCTATGGGACCAAAACAAAAGAATATAGTGGTTGGACATTATACCCAGGTAAGGAAAAAAAAGAAAAAAAAAACCACACACAAAACTTTGCCATAAATGCCCTAAAGAGAAAGCTTCTTCAAATTTTGACTGATTCCAATGTTGAATCTGGGGGAAGATCTCCGGTAGGTAAAGAATAGTCTTCACATTTTGTGGGTATTTCAGCTGTGAGCCATCATTTTCAAAAGCATGCAGGCTTTTAATAGGAAAACTTACTCTGTATTTTTTGGGTAGTCTGAATGGATAAAACAGTGAACATGCATGAAAATGTAATAGTTTTAAAGATTTTTACTTTAATTCAATAATCGAAGTATTTCCATAAGGTATATGAAAATGTGCGTTAGTAACATTCTTTTCAGTTTTTTTTATTTTCTATTATTTATTTTTTTTATATTTCCTTCTCTAACGTACTCTCATATTTGCACTTATGGGCATGTAGGTTGTTTGGTACTCGTCTTACCGTGTTGGATGTGGAGTTGCCTATTGTCCCAACGAACGAAGTCTGAAATACTTCTATGTTTGCCAATATTGTCCCAGGTAAGGAAATGCTTTCAAATTTGGTGTCAATGATGCCATTGGCAATTTAATATTTTAAAATTACCATGTAATAGACAACGCAGACTACAAAAGCACATTTCAGTGAAGGGGAGAGATAAATCTTTAGAAATATGTTCTGAATTTGAGACACAACCAACTTCTCAGAAAGAAGACCAATTTCTCACATTTGAGTCTACTATTCAGAAGCTGTCTTCCATCATGATTAAAATGATTTGTCTTCCTTCTCAACTGCTTTTCCAGAGGCTCAGGGTTACTCCATGGGTGTATGTTGTGTGTAGTTCTCTAGACTTGGTACTGTCAGTTTTATATTAAATTCACATCTGGAAAGTGAAAGCTGGATGGTAAGGTCAGGGGTGAAGGTGAAATAGAAGATGGTAATGACTTTCTAGTGATTTCAGCCCCTTGTACTGAAATATTCCTACTCCTGCTCATCTAAAAATACCTGTAGTATACCATTAAGAACTGATTAAATCTTGGGCCTCAAAGGATTTTCAGGAAATTCCTGATATATTTCAAATTGTCAAGAAATGGTCATGTCTTAAGTATCCACTTAGATTCAGATGCATTGCCTTGGGACCTTGGACCGCTTGGTCCAACTGACATTTAGACTCTGTTGTATTTTTAGATAACAGCCGATAGAATAATCATCATCAATCAAGTGCAGGCTAGTCATGGTAACACCACTATACCCTGGAGATTTGTGTTAATGAAACCTTTTATTCTAACTAACATTCCCATGTTTGGTAAACATAAAATCTCACACACAAAACCTCTAGACATTCAAAATCCATCCTAACACACTCACCTCCCCCCCAAAATGCTTGAAAAAATCTCCATCCTTCAGCTAGAGGCCAAACATTATCTTGGAGCTTTACTTTCTCCAGTCCATATTATAGAAATGGTCAATAATTATAGTTACCTTTTAAAATATAAAATTACATTTAATATTAAGCATTTTCCATTGTGCAACCTTCTGTTCATAGGAGCTTCTACAATATCTCAAGGGGAGAGGCTTTACCCTTAGCCAGCACCTCAGGGCGCACTGCTTAGCAATTTGACGATGTCTACTGAGAGATGAAAGGTGTTGCCACATTAAAATATACTCTCAAAACTTTAGACCTATTTATTCCACTTCACTTGCTTGGACTGTGAGATTATGGTCAAGGAATTGCGTGTATGTGTGAATTATTATCTTACTTTGCATTGTTATCTGAGTATACAGTAGATTGGCAATATTACTTTTTCAGATGACACAATGAAAAACATTGAGTGAATACTCAGCTATATAAGGTGATAGATGCTACCCTTGGAGCATAAACTAAACTGAAAAATGTTGTATTTCAAATTTCAGTGGTAATATTGTTGGCAGAAGCCTTACTCCCTACCTAAAAGGAACACCTTGTGCCAGCTGCCCTGGTCACTGTGACAATGGATTATGCAGTAAGTCTGAAGTCATTAATTTACTAGTATAATTAAATAACCTGATATTTATTTTTAAAAATTCAGAAATCTTCTGAATGGAGTCAACTTAAGCAATGCCTTCATGCAGAAGACAATGATAAAATTAATCAACAGAGTGTGTTTAAGAAAACATCTAAAACCCTTCAGTATATACGTACTTTTCTCAATGAAAGCCTGTTATCATATGTAACCTAAAGAAACATCTACCAATGATGTATATTTGTGACTATGTTGAACCAATTACATTTTGGCATATCTGAAAATGTTTCTGTGAAAATAATTTATTGTAATTAAATATGAATTTTCTTTTCATCAAGTTAATGCTATTATAGAAAAGGTGGCATTTTAAAAAGAAAGTATATACAAATATAAAGGTGTGAGACCACAGAATATAGCTCAGTCTAGACAGGCACACCAAATACTAGTATAGTCCCTTATATACCAAAGTATTAATCATATTAAATTTCTCATTTTCCTCATAGCATAGTTGGAATCATCAAGTTTAATTTAATAATCATTTGCACTTTTGTTTTGCTAGTAACTTTTATGTACTTTAAATATGTCTATCAAATTTGCAGAAGCCTCAAAACTATTTTAGCAAAAAAGAATAAAAATTAATGTCATATTATATCTCATTTCCAGTGTTGTTATGAATGGAGGTACAAAGAGGTTTTTTTTTAGTTGGATGTATTATTAGAATTATTATGAACAATACAGTTGACTCATTTTTACCTCTCAAATGCATTCACCTGACGAAATTGCAGCATTCTTTCTGAGTGAATGATATAACCATAATTGGTTCAAAAACAAATAAATATCTTTACTGTATTCGGGCAAAATGAATGAAGAGATATGGGCAGTTTATGAGAGACAGGGAAAAGTAGAATAGCCAGTGCTTATTACCTGCGCTTGTTAAGCACTGATAAAAAGTAGAAGGGGATGAGTTCAGGTAGATTCCTAGTTCTTGGTTTGAATTATTTAGTAGTGGGGACTGCCGTGCCTCTGAGATTGGGTGAATTGATTTGGGAGTTGGGGAAATATACCAAAGAAATGCCAAACTTGTAGGTAGGATGATGAATTTCGTTTGAGATTTGTGGCCACTGAGGGACATCCAAGTGGAAATGTCCAATAATAATAGTAAAATTCTATTTTTACATTTTTTACTTTCACATCTCATAACAACTTCTTACTCCCGAAAGAAAGGCTGGTGGCATTAAGTTTAGTGGCAACAGTGTCTAATATAATTTTCTGCGATGATGGAAATGTTCAATATTTGCACTGTCCTGTAAAGTGGTCCCTAGACACATTGGCTATTGCGCACTCAAACTGTAACTAGTATCACTGAGAACCTGAAATTTCAAAGTTATTTAATTTAAATTTAAACAACCACATGGCTAGTGGCTATACTTTTGGATAGTGTAGTTTCATAAAGATTTATTTAAATTCACTTCATCCTGTTTTCTGAGGGAGGAAAGCCAGTCATTTATTTTAGAAATATTTGGAAAAACTCAAATTAAAAAAATGATGCCTTAATCAGTGAATTTAACTAAGGGGCCTTATGTCCCTCAAGATAGGAAATGGCCATCAGAGCATAATGAATGATGCCAACTTGTTCATTCTATTTCCTCCTCCTCACTCACATGGAATTTATTGTTCGTGTTACTTACTGCTATGGAGGAAAATGATAATGAAGTGACTAATTTTTTTGTTTGTTTTTGTTCCAGCCAATGCTTGCGAGTATGACGATATGTATTCTAACTGTAAAGATTTGAAGAACCAATTGAGCTGTGGAAATGATTTTGTCAAGACGAATTGCAAAGCTGCCTGCAATTGTTCAAAAAAAATTTATTAAATGCCCAGTATAGACTGATCATGGTTAAGGGGAAGGGAGCCACATCTACTTACACTTGACATTTATTAGCAAAGAAATCATATACATGTTAACTATAAATTTGATTCCAAATAGTTATATCTTTTTCTCCTGGGTCTGCTTTTTACTTTACATAAATGTCTTTCATCCAAAGAAGAGTTCACATGTGTGGTCTTTAATTCCTCCTCTGCCATTCACCCTTCTCACTCATCTAGCTTCCATCCCCATAATTCAATTAAATTGTTTTTCTTCCCAAGGAGAACCCAATCTTCATTTTGCCAAAAGCAATGAAGTCTTCTTATTCTTCATCTGTGTAAATTGTACAGTAGAGTATGACCACACCCTCTGTTTTTAAACCTCTCTTCTCTTAGACATATCTTCCTTAAAGAACTTAATATAATATACATAAATACTCTTTCCTCCAGGAGGTAGAAGTTAGTTTCCTCTCTTTCGAGCCTGGGCTGAACTTAGTGACTCATTTCCAAAGAGTCAAGTATGGGAAGGGAGCTATAATAATTTCACATTAGAGAAATCTGGTAAATGCCACTTTAACTAAGTAATCAAAGTTAGCATCATCTATAATAAGTGGACTCATGTACCCTTCATCTGATGTGATTAGAAAGGCATTTCACTTCTGTGGTATTCTTTCTAAAATCTTGTAACCCAAATCTCATCATAAGATAAAACATTAGGCAAATTTAAATGGAGGGATCATTCTACAAAATACCCCTGATCATGACTCCTCCAAACTGTTAAAATCATGAGCAATAAGGAAGTTCAGAGAAACCTTTACAGACCAGGCTGACTAAACAAACATGAGAACTAAATACAACATGGTATTTTGGATTGGATCCTGGAAGAGAAAAAGATCATTAAGGAGAAAATTGGTGAAATCTGAATAGACTTTGTAGTGTTTTTAATAGTAATGATGATTTCTTAGTCTTTCCAAATGTACCAAGATAATGTAAAATGATAACATTACAGGGAATTGAAACTGGATTTAGAGTATATGGAAATTCTCTGTAATATTTTAGCAACATTTCTGTAAATCTAAAAAGACTCCAAAATAGCCCTTGTGTTGCTTAGTGGATAGAGTGTTGTCCTGCACACCAAAGGGTTTCAGGTTTTATTCTGATTAAAGGCATGTATATGGGTTGCATATTCGATCCCTAGCCTGTGTGGGAGGCAACCAATCTCTCTCTCTCTCTCTCTCTCTCTCTCTCTCTCTCTCTCTCCCCCCCTTCCTGCCCTCCCTCCCTTCCACTCACTCTAAAAATCAGTGGTAAAATATATCCTTGGGTGATGATTAACAAAAAATAATAAAATAAAATGACTCCAAAATAAAAAATGCATTGTAAAAGAAAAATGAAAATCTCTTTTTCTCGGCTCCATGACACTTCATACTTGTTCTCTAGATTATCTGGTTATTCTTTCTCAGACTCCCCTTCCCCTCCACTACCACCAAATTTGAAGTCCTCACTTGCACTGCTAAATGTTTGATTTTTGTCTTTTTCAAGAACTTTCAGATAATACCAATGATTGGATTGTCAAATCAAACTCAGCTGCTTATCCAGGGTCTAGAACAGCCGTGGGCAAACTACGGCCCATGGGCCAGATCCAGCCCGTTTGAAATGAATAAAACTAAAAAAAAAAGACCATACCCTTTTATGTAATGATGTTTACTTTGAATTTATATTAGTTCACACAAACACTCCATCCATGCTTTTGTTCCGGCCCTCCGGTCCAGTTTAAGAACCCATTGTGGCCCTCGAGTCAAAAAGTTTGCCCACCCCTGGTCTAGAATCACTAATCATTTCAAGGATATCAGCCACGAGGCAAAGGCAAAACAGGGATAGGTCCAAGACCACCAATGTAGCTCCCAGATGGTGTTTTTGCAACACATTTCCTAATCTCAACAGTGATAGACTTCCTAATTTGTCTACTTTCAAAACCTCCCCATAGAGCTCTCAAGTACTGAAGATAATATTTATGCTCAAATTGATTAGCAAGAAGATAAATCATTTTTCTCTACTTTGCTATCTAATTTCACTTTATCTCATTCTCCTTTAATTTTTATGCTCCAAATTGAATGATCTTATCAAATTATTTCAAGCTTCCCAAGATTTTCTTAGCTCAGGGCATTTGTGTTTGCTATTAGCGCTATCTGGAAGATTCATCCCTCTATTATTTGCTAGATTAGTTCCTTCACATTGAATGTCATTGCATCCAAGACATTCCTTTGAATAAATAATCTGAAGAACATCCCCTCATAGCTCCCTATATTCCCTTTCATAACAATCATTACAATGCGTAATAATTCATTCCTGCATTCAACAAATATTTATTGGAAACAATTATGACTCAAGTATTTATTTAGGTCCTTTGAAAATAGTGTTTAACAGAACAGACCAAGTTCAGAACTTCATAAAGTTCACACTATAATAGGGCAGAAAGAAAACAATGTATTTGTAAATAAATCCTAATATAATATAGGAAGTGATAAGTGTTATAAACTAAAATGGGCAAGAGAATGAAGAATAATGAGGACAGGCTGGGAGGAGAAAATGTTAATTTAAATAAGATAGGTAAATACTCTCTGAGGTGATGACAATGGATTACAGCCACAATAGAAGAGAGAAGACAACCAGTAACAATGAATAACCAAGAAACTTTCAGGCAAAGAGAATAGTGAGTACAAAGTTGTTGAGGTAGTGATAAACTTGGTATATTTAAGGAAAGACAAGAAGGCCAGAATGGCTGGAGCACAGTGAGCAAGGTAAAGATAGTTTTAAAAAGGGGTCAAAGAGCCCTAGCTGGTTTGGCTCAGTGGATAGATTGGCCTGAGCTGAAGGGTCCCAGGTTCAATTCCGATCAAGGGCACACTTCTGGGTTGTGGGCTCGATCCCCAGTAGGGGGCATGCAGGAGGCAGCCAATCAATGATTCTCTCATCATTGATGTTTCTACTTTTCTATCTCTCCTACTTCCTCTCTGAAATCAATAAAAATATATTTTAAATAAATTAATTAATTAATTAATTAAATAAATAAGGGGTCAATGAGTTAGGCACAACTTAGTCACAAACTTACCTGCCATTCAGGGCAGGTAAAGAACTGCGATATTATTATAAGTAAACATGAGATATAAATTGTAAGAGGACAAAATGAAGCAAAAATCTGGAAAACAAGGTAAGTATTTCCCAACTCAAGCTAATATCACCGTTTGCCAAAGCCAAACATCACAAGAAAACTACAGTCTATTACCCCTCATGGGCATAGATGCAACCTACAGAAAGGATCGCACACCATGGCAAAGTAAGGTTGTCCAAGTATAAAAGGTTGTTTCAACATTCACAATCAACTAATGTGATATACCATATTAATAAAATAAAGACATCACAGATGATGTAAAAAATGCAGTGCCTTTCATAAAAAACAATTTTCAGAAAACTAGAAATAGAAGGTAACTTTCTCATCTTAAAAAGGAACAGCTAACAGAATCCTCCAGCTGACGTTACACTCAGTGCTTGACTGAGTGCTTTCTGGCTATATTACTTTGTGGGTGAGTACACCATTGTAGTACAGTGGGGCCTTGACTTACGAGTTTAATTCGTTCTGAGACCGAGCTCGTTAAGGAGTTCCTTAAGGAGCTCGTTAACTCAAATTACTCTATCAATTCAATGCAAAAAATCGGCCGAGAGAAAGCTGGTATCTCAAAAAACTCATTAGTCGGGACACTCATAAGTCAAGGCCCCTCCGTACTTTTCAATCTGGAATCCACCATCAGGAATAAGGTGAGGATGTCAGTTTGCACCACTTTGCTCACATTTTAAACTTACAGCCAACACAATAAAAAAAAGGGAAAATAAATTAAGGCATATAGATTAGAAAGGTAGAAACAGTCTTTACTTGCAGATTGAAATGACCTTTCCTGATGTTTCTACCTCTAATAGAACTCATAAGCTAATAGAATAGGCAAGTTTAGCAAAGTCATGAGATTACAAGGTGGAACAGGGAGCGCCTTACAAATAAAGCACCAGGGTAAGAAATACAGTCGGCTTCTCATCAGAATCCATGCAAGAACCCACTTCTTCCAACTCTCAGGCACCCAGGACACTGCTCCTTTCGGCTCAGCACACTGCCAGCATCGGATTTTGCATGAGTATTTAGAGCAGCGGTTCTCAACCTGTGGGTCGAGACCCCTTTGGCAGTCGAACGACCCTTTCACAAGGGTCGCCTAAGATCATCCTGCATATCAGATATTTACATTACGATTCATAACAGTAGCAACATTACAGTTATGAAGTAGCAACGAAAATAATGTTATGGTTGGGGTCACAACATGAGGAACTGTATTTAACCGTTTGAGTCCCAAGCAGCTCGATCGCGCTGCTTGGTATTTCTCGACATAAAATAAAACAAGCGCTATCACGCTGTTTGGGTCTTTTCGTACTCATTTAGAGAAAGCGCGGTTGCGCTGTTTAGGATTCTTCGACAGTGTTTTTTAAATACCCCCTGGGACTCAAATGAATCGTATGTTTTCTCGACATAAAAATCTCAGCAGCGCGATCGCGCTGCTTGGGACTCAAACGGTTAAAAGACCAGAAGGTTGATAACCACTGATTTAGAGGTACCTGCACTGCTCCCGTCAATAATGATGTACTTTCCAGGTGCTCCCCAACACATGTAGACTCTCAACCTACAAGGTTACTTTATTTTAGATTTCCCCTCCATATCAAACTCATCAACACAGATA